AAATGTTGTACCTCTTCAGTACAGGAAAGACTGTGCTATAACTTAAATTGCCAGGCATACCATCTAAAGGGGACAAAAAGATACAAAACATCCAGGCCATGGGAAAACCTGGGTAGCCACAGCCACTCAAGAGGGAAGGTTTTTTAGTGCCAGGAAGGAAAAAAAAACTGGCAGGAAATGGCAGAAATCGTACACCAAATCCAGTCATTCCTGGAGTGGAACCACAGTCGATGGCCTCCACTCCAAACCAACAGATACAGATACTAATGCCGGAAAAAAATCCCCCCCAGTACCAACAATACCACCAGTCCGATAACATTCTTCTTTGCAAATATACAGGGTCTAAAGCCAGCAACAAACAACAAAATACCTTTCATCCGTGGACTGCTTGCAGAGGCAAAGGCAATGTTCGCGGCTTTCACTGAGACCCACATAAAGGATCACTTGGACAACGAAATATGGATCCCAGGTTACAACCTATACAGATGTGACAGAGTGAACAGGCAAAAGGGGGGGGTTGGCCTGTACATTGCAGAGTCACTTGTTTGCACAGAACTGCTTAATGCCTCAAATGACGTAGTGGAAGTTTTAGCAGTAAAGGTCGAGAAACCAAAACCTAGTCATTGTGGTAGTCTACAAGCCTCCGGATGCAACATCCCAGCAATTCCAGGAACAGCTGTTAAAAATTGACCACTGTCTGGAAAATCTTCCAGCTCCTGCACCCAACATCTTGCTCCTGGGGGATTTCAACTTAAGGCACCTAAAATGGAGGAATATAGCAAATAATATTGTTGCAGTAATAACACCAGGAGGCAGCTCTGATGAAAACTCACACTCACACGAGCTTTTAAATCTCTGCACAAAATTCAATTTAAACCAGCAAATAATAGAGCCTACTAGACTGGAGAATACACTAGACCTCATCTTCACTAACAATGATGATCTGATAAGAAATGTCACCATATCAAAAACAATATACTCAGATCACAACATAATTGAGGTTCAGACATGTATGCGTGGAGCCCCAGACCGACAAAATGAGACTAGTCACGAGGGAGCATTCACCAAATTCAACTTCAATAACAAAAACATAAAGTGGGACCAAGTAAACCAAGTCCTAACCGATATAAGCTGGGAAGATATACTAAGCAACACAGACCCAAACTTATGCCTAGAACAGATTAACTCGGTGGCACTCTATGTATGCACAAGGCTTATTCCTCTAAGAAAAAGGAGGAGTAGATGTAAAATAGAAAGAGACAGGCGCTCCCTTTACAGGCGACGGAAAAGAATAACAGAGCGGCTAAAAGAGGTCAATATATCTGAAATGCGCAGGGAGACACTGGTCAGAGAAATAGCAAGCATCGAACTTAAGCAAAAAAGAATCCTTTAGGAGTCAGGAATCGCGGGAAGAACTAAAAGCCATAAATGAAATCGAAAGAAAACCCAAAGTATTTCTTCTCCTATGCCAAATCAAAATCGAGAACAACGTCCAGTATTGGGCCCCTACTTAAACAAGATGGGTCCTACACAGATGACAGCAAGGAAATGAGTGAGCTACTCAAGTCCCAATATGACTCAGTTTTTAGCAAGCCGCTAACCAGACAGAGTCGAAGATCAAAATGAATTTTTTATGAGAGAGCCACAAAATTTGATTAACACAAGCCTATCCGATGTTATCCTGACGCCAAATGACTTCGAACAGGCGATAAATGACATGCCCATGCACTCTGCCCCAGGGCCAGACTCATGGAACTCTGTGTTCATCAAGAACTGCAAGAAGCCCCTATCATGAGCCTTTTCCATCCTATGGAGAGGGAGCATGGACACGGGGGTCGTCCCTCAGTTACTAAAAACAACAGACATAGCCCAATTCCACAAAGGGGGCAGTAAAGCAACAGCAAAGAACTACAGACCAATAGCACTAACATCCCCTATCATAAAAATCTTTGAAAGGGTCCTAAGAAGCAAGATCACCACCCATCTAGAAACCCATCAGTTACACAACCCAGGGCAACATGGGTTTAGAACAGGTCACTCCTGTCTGTCTCAACTACTGGATCACTACGACAAGGTCCTAAATGCACTAGAAGACAAAAAGAATGCAGATGTAATATATACAGACTTTGCAAAAGCCTTCGACAAGTGTGACCATGGCGTAATAGCGCACAAAATGAGCGCTAAAGGAATAAACAGGAAAAGTCGGTCGATGGATCTATAATTTCCTCACTAACAGAACACAGAGAGTAGTCGTCAACAGAGTAAAGTCCGAGGCAGCTACGGTGAAAAGCTCTGTTCCACAAGGCACAGTACTAGCTCCATCTTGTTCCTCATCCTCATATCCGACATAGACAAGGATGTCAGCCACAGCACCGTGTCTTCCTTTGCAGATGACACCCGAATCTGCATGACAGTGTCTTCCATTGCAGACACTGCAAGGCTCCAGGTGGACATCAACCAAATCTTTCAGTGGGCTGCAGAAAACAATATGAAGTTCAACGATGAGAAATTTCAATTACTCAGATATGGTAAACATGAGGAAATTAAATCTTCATCAGAGTACAAAACAAATTCTGGCCACAAAATAGAGCGAAACACCAACGTCAAAGACCTGGGAGTGATTATGTCGGAGGATCTCGCCTTCAAGGACCATAACATCGTATCAATCGCATCTGCTAGAAAAATGACAGGATGGATAATGAGAACCTTCAAAACTAGGGAGGCCAAGCCCATGATGACACTCTTCAGGTCACTTGTTCTATCTAGGCTGGAATATTGCTGCACTCTAACAGCACCTTTCAAGGCAGGTGAAATTGCCGACCTAGAAAATGTACAGAGAACTTTCACGGCGCGCATAACGGAGATAAAACACCTCAATTACTGGGAGCGCTTGAGGTTTCTAAACCTGTATTCCCTGGAACGCAGGAGGGAGAGATACATGATTATATACACCTGGAAAATCCTAGAGGGACTAGTACCGAACTTGCACACGAAAATCACTCACTACGAAAGCAAAAGACTTGGCAGACGATGCACCATCCCCCCCAATGAAAAGCAGGGGTGTCACTAGCACGTTAAGAGACCATACAATAAGTGTCAGGGGCCTGAGACTGTTCAACTGCCTCCCAGCACACATAAGGGGGATTACCAACAGACCCCTGGCAGTCTTCAAGCTGGCACTGGACAAGCACCTAAAGTCAGTTCCTGATCAGCCGGGCTGTGGCTCGTACGTTGGTTTGCGTGCAGCCAGCAGCAACACCCTGGTTGATCAGGCGCTGATCCACCAGGAGGCCTGGTCACAGACCGGGCCGCGGGGGCGTTGACCCCCGAAACTCTCTCCAGGTAAACTCCAGGTAAACTAATGCAGTAGTCTGCATAACAGTAAATCTTCTATTTTTTGAGAATAAAAATTCAAAGTGGAAAGCAAAAGAAATATAACATGGGCCTAGGGACATGACTAATGAACAGAGGAAATGTTATTTTAGTGCCAGGAATGTCTGTCTGGTTTATTCTGGACCCTATTTGGAAATTGGCATCTTTTGAAATTTGTGTAAAATTGGCAAAATTACCAATTTCTGACCACTTCATTGGATAGTTGAAATCGGTAAATGGGTAGTTTCTTGTACTCATTCGATAGAAAAAATGGAGTTCTAGCGAAATAGGTATGATTTTTGTCAACTAACATTGGAATTAACTGAAAATAGGGCTCAAAGTGGGTGAAATTGCCAAAGCGTAAACATCGAGACTGCTAACTTTGCGAGAGCATAATTCCTTAAGTTTTCCATCAAATTTCATACTTTTGGTGTCATTTTGATCGGGAAAAGATTCTCTATTCATTTCATAAGAAAAAATAATTATTTTGTTTTTCAAAAACTTTCCGACCCTGAGAACGAGTTTAGGAGAGGGCCTGCCAACCCTGAAAGTGTTAATAATAAGCTAGGCATTATTCAATGAAGTTTTTTCAAATTATTCAGTTTATCATATTTTTTATGGGTACTTTTTTGGATTTATGAAGCTTTTACCAAGTGAGATTTCTAGATCTTTCAACTGAAGAGTCTCAATCTGGCCTATATTAATGAAAACTCCATCACTCAGGATGTATCAATCCATATTTTAAGGGAAAGTGGGACAGAATTCTTTTTCTGTAAGCCGTGCGTGTCGTAAGAGGCAACTAAAATGTCTGGAGCGAGGGGCTAGTAACCCTTTCTCCTGAATACATCACTAAATTTAAGGAGAGAAACTTTAGTTTTTCTTTTTAGGTCACCCTGCCTAGGTGGGATATGGCCAGTTTGTTGAAAAAATCTAATTAAATAAAAAACAATACTTAATAATTAAGTCACCCAATATCTATTAATCATAATCACTCTTGTATAAGGCAACTCAATAAAACTGAATACTGGCGCTCATGAGTTACAATGAGGTTACATTCCAATAAACCCATCGCAAGTTGAAAATATCTCAAGTCAAATATATATATATGATATGATAAATAAACAAGTAAATAACTACCGTCATTGAACAAGTAAATAAACAAATGATTACTGTAACTAACTTAATACAGGATCAGAAAGTAAATTAATGAACACAAGATCAAAATTCAAAGCCTGATGACTACTGAATATGCATTGCCATCGCTCTACCATAAAGTCAAAATATCGTAAAGTGAGAAGCATCTGTATATTCATGAAAAGATAATAAAATCAGAAACACCACCTACACTAATACAGTGGACCCCCGCATAACGATCACCTCCCAATGCGACCAATTATGCAAGTGTATTTATGTAAGTGCGTTTGTACGTGTATGTTTGGGGGTCTGAAATGGACTAATCTATTTCACAGTATTCCTTATGGGAGCAAATTCAGTCAGTACTGGCACCTGAACATACTTCTGGAATGAAAAAATATCGTTAACCGGGGGTCCACTGTAATTTAGTTCACAGGTAAAATTAATAATGGTTCGGTAAAGAACTCTTGACAGGACTAGTGAAGGTAACATACCATCTCGACTGTTTTATTTTCGTGATTCTGCAGCATTGTCATGATGAGCAGGTTCTTGTGACCATCCAGGAGACGGCCGGGAAACTTGTCACCCGTGTCCAGCTCCAACACTTGTACCATATTTCTTGAGCAGTAGTCCAAAACCATGTATTGGTCTTCGCTATAGTGAGAAAATTAATAATTTGTTTAATGTGAATGATCATACCCTTTCAAAATTATCATTAGAGATGCAATAGTGAAAATAATATATAATTTATGTCAAAATCATCATGAGTGATGCAATACAGTGTAAGTATGTAATGTTATTAAACTAAATTCATGAATTTAAATCCTTTTGATCAAATATCTTTTTTTTTTTTCAATAAACCGGCCATATCCCACCAAGGCAGCGTGGCCCAAAAAGAAAAACGAAAGTTTTTCTTTTTAAGTTTAGTATGTTTAGTAATTTGTACAGGAGAAGGGGTTACTAACCCCTTGCTCCCGCCATTTTAGTCGCCTCTTACAACACGCATGGCTTACGGAGGAAGAATTCTGTTCCACTTCCCCATGGAGATTAGAGGAAATAAACAAGAACTAAAAAGAAAATAGAAGAAAACCCAGAGGGGTGTGTGTATATAAGCTTGTACATGTATGTGTAGTGTGACCTAAGTGTAAAAAGTAGTAGCAAGACAGAAAAAAGACACCAGCAATCCTACCATCATGTAAAACAATTACAGGCTTTTGTTTTACACTCACTTGGCAGGACAGTTGTATCTCCCTGGGTGGTTGCCGTCTATCAACCTACTACCTAGGATAACTGTATTTATGAGCAAATAATTTCTAATAGAACAAATTTTAACAACATAGTACAGTGGACCCCTGGTTATCGTAATTAATCTGTCCCACAGTGACTCAAGCCAAATTTGACAATATCCTAATTTATTTCCCCATAAGAAATAATGCAAGTCCAATTAACCCGTTCCAGACACCCAAAAGTATTAAAAAAACAAGTTTTTTTACATGAAATATACATTTACTTACACACAAAGCAATGATATATGAAGAATAAAACAATAACAATATGACACTTACCTTTATTGAAGACTTGTTGATGTATGGAAGACAGGAGGAGGGGAGAGGATGGAGGAGTTATTATTGTTTGGAAGGAGACTCCCATTCCATAAAGACTTCAGGTACCAAGTCCTTTTCCGGGGTTACTTCCCTTCTTTGTTTTTTAATGCCACTAGGACCAGCTTGAGAGTCACTGGACCCTGTCGCTCAAAAAATTGTTCCAGAGAGCTCTGTTTCTGGCGTTTCTTTAAAATTTCCCTAAAATGGGACACAACATTGTCACTGTACATGTTGCCAACACAGCCTACAACAGCTTTGTCAGGGTGATGTTCATCCATAAATGTTTGCACCTCACTCCACTTTGCACAAATGTCCTTAAGCTTTGAAGAAGGCACCTTCTTCCATCTCTCTTCCTCAAACTCTGAAGCAATTTCCTGAGCTGTGGTCTGTTGCTGTTCCAGATGAAGGCCTTGGAGCTCTTCATTGTGGTCCTCCACCAACTCCTCCACATCCTTGCCACTCACATCCAACCCCCATGGAATTCCCCAATGCCATAATACTTTCCACAACTGCCATAGGCTCATCAGGGTCAGCCCCAAACCCTTCAAATTCCTCTCTCGGACACATTCTGGCCACAATTTTCTCGAAGCAGAGTTCAAAGTCCTGGAAGTCATTCCCTCCCAAGCCTTACTTATAAGGTTTATGGAATGGAGGATACTGAATTGATCTTCCCAGAACTCTCTTAGGGTCAATTCAATGTCCGAGGTTATGTCAAAGCACCTTTGAAACATTGCTTTGGTGTAGAGTTTACTGAAGTTTGAAATGGCCTGCTGGTTCATGGGCTGATTGAGAGAAGTGGTATTATGGGGGCAAGAACTTTACTGTGATGAAACAAAACTCCACCATTTGGTCATCCAAGTCTGGAGGATGAGCAGGAGCTTTGTCCATTACCAGGAGGCACTCGAGTTCCAATATATTTTCTAGGAGGTATTTCTTCACACACGGGCCAAACACTTCATTGAGCCAATCAAGGAAAATTTCCTTCATGATCCATGCCTTACTGTTTGCCTTCCACATCACACACAATTTACTCTTGGCAACACTGTTTTTCTTGAACACATTGGGATTTTCAGAGTGATACATCAGTAAAGGTTTCACTGAAATCCCCACCAACATTACTACAGAATATGAGAGTTAGCCTGTCTTCCATAGGCTTGTGTCCTGGGAGTACCTTTTCCTCCTGCGTGATGTAGGTCCTCTTTGGCATTTTCTTCCAAAAGAGGCCTGTTTTGTCACAATTGAACACTTGTTGAGGTTTGAATTGTTCAGCCTCTATGTACCCCTTGAATTCCTAAACATATTTTTAAGCCGCACATTTGTCAGAACTTGCAGCCTCGCCATGCCTTACTACACTGTTTATGCCACTACGCTTCTTAAATCTTTCAAACCAGCCATTGCTGGCCTTAAATTCACTGACATCAGCACTAGTTCGACATTTTCTTTACGAGATCATGCCTTTTCACAAATTATCGACTGCATAACACTATCTCCTGCTAACTGTTTTTGGTTGATCCACATCAACAAGAAAGTCTTCACATCTTCGAGTATTTGCGATCTCTGTTTTGTGAGCATATTTGCACCTTTCGCAACAACAGCTTCCTTGATTTCCATTTTCTTGGCCACAATAGAAGCAATGGTTGTATGGGGTTTCTTGTACAACCTGGCAAGCTCTGCCACACTTACTCCACTTTCATATTTTGCAATGATGTCTTTCTTGAATTATATAGTGTTATTTAGCAGTTGCAAGCACAAAAAAAGAATGGAATATTACGAAATGTATCACATGAACAGGTGGGGTGACGGTCACTCACTGATAAACAACGGCAGACTGACTGTGAATGGTGTGTACTCACCTATTTGTACTCACCTATTTGTGGTTGCAGGGGTCGAGTCCTAGCTCCTGGCCCCGCCTCTTCACCGGTTGCTACTAGGCCCTCTCTCTCCCCGCTCCATGAGCTTTATCAAACCTCGTCTTAAAACTGTGTATGGTTCCTGCCTCCACTACGTCATTTTCTAGGCTATTCCACTGCCTTACAACTCTATGACTGAAGAAATACTTCCTACTATCTCTCTGACTCATTTGTGTCTTCAACTTCCAATTGTGGCCTCTTGTTTCTGTGTCCCCTCCCTGGAACATCCTGTCTTTGTCCACCTTGTCTATTCCACGCAGTATTTTTATATGTCGTTATCATGTCTCCCCTGACCCTCCTGTCCTCCAGTGTGGTCAGGCCGATTTCCCTTAATCTTTCCTCATAGGACATTCCCCTTAGCTCTGGAACTAACCTTGTCACAAACCTTTGTACTTTCTCTAGTTTCTTGACGTGCTTTATCAAGTGCGGGTTCCAAACAGGTGCTGCATACTCCAGTATGGGCCTGACATACACGGTGTACAGTGTCTTGAATGATTCCTTACTAAGGTATCGGAATGCTGTTCTCAGGTTTGCCAGGCGCCCATATGCTGCAGCAGTTATCTGATTGATGTGTGCTTCCGGAGACATGCTCGGTGTTATACTCACCCCACGATCTTTCTCCTTGAGTGAGGTTTGCAGTCTTTGGCCACCTAGCCTATACTCTGTCTGTGGTCTTCTGTGCCCCTCCCCCATCTTCATGACTTTGCATTTGGCAGGATTAAATTCGAGAAGCCATTTGCTGGACCAGGTGTCCAGTCTGTCCAGGTCTCTTTGAAGTCCTGCCTGGTCCTCATCAGATTTAATTCTCCTCATTAACTTCACATCATCTGCAAACAGGGACACTTCTGAGTCTAACCCTTCCGTCATGTCGTTCACATATACCAAAAATAGCACTGGTCCTAGGACCGACCCCTGTGGGACCCAGCTCGTCACAGGTGCCCACTGTGATACATCATTACGTACCATGACTCGTTGTTGCCTCCCTGTCAGGTATTCTCTGATCCATTGCAGTGCCCTTCCTGTTATATGCGCCTGGTGCTCTAGCTTCTGCACTAATCTCTTGTGAGGAACTGTGTCAAAGGCCTTCTTGCAGTCCAAGAAGATGCAATCAACCCACCCCTCTCTCTCTTGTCTTACTTCTGTTATTTTATCATAAAACTCCAGAAGGTTTGTGATACAGGATTTGCCTTCCGTGAATCCGTGCTGGTTGGCATTTATACTCCTGTTCCGTTCCAGGTGCTCCACCACTCTCCTCCTGATAATCTTCTCCATAATTTTGCATACTATACACGTCAATGACACAGGTCTATAGTTTTAGTGCCTCTTTTCTGTCTCCTTTTTTAAAAATGGGAACTACATTTGCCGTCTTCCATACCTCAGGTAGTTGCCCAGTTTCCAGGGATGTGTTGAAGATTGTGGTAAGTGGCACGCACAATATATCTGCTCCCTCTCTAAGGACCCACGGGGAGATGTTGTCTGGTCCCATTGCCTTTGAGGTATCGATGTCCCTTAGCAGTTTCTTCACCTCCTCCTCATCTGTATGTATGTCGTCCAACACTTGTTGGTGTATTCCTTGCTGGTGTCCCCGTCTGGTCTGTCCCCCCAGAGTCCTTCCTGTCTCTACTGTAAATACTTCCTTAAATCTCTTGTTTAGCTCCTCACATACCTCTTGATCGTTTCTTGCGAGTTCTCCACCTTCTTTCCTCAGCCTTATCACCTGGTCCTTGACTGTTGTCTTCCTCCTAATGTGGCTATACAGCAGTTTCGGGTCAGATTTGACTTTCGATGCTATGTCGTTTTCATACTGTCGCTGGGCCTCCCTCCTTATCTGTGCATACTCGTTTCTGGCTCTTCTACTAATCTCCTTGTTTTCCTGGTCCTATGCCTCCTGTACCTTTTCCATTCTCTGTTGCACTTAGTTTTTTGCCTCCCTACACCTTCGGGTAAACCAAGGACTCGTTTTGGTCTTCCTATTATTTCCGTTTCCCTTGGGAACAAAACTTTCCTCTGCCTCCTTGCACTTTGTTGCCACATATTCCATCATCTCGTTTACTGATTTTCCTACCATTTCTCTGTCCCACTGAACCTCCTGCAGGAAGTTTCTCATACCTGTGTAGTCCCCCCTTTTATAGTTTGGCCTGTCCCCTTCAGTTCCTGTTACCTGTGTGGGGCCACTCATATGCGTTTGGGATGAACAACTATTACCGAGGTAAATGACACTCACCGAGCCAATACATGTATTTTGATGAAAAAAGTTACGATTACCAAATATTACGAAATCCGATGGCTACGATATCCGGGGGTCCACTGTATATGGAATACTGTAATATATACAAGAAAAGCTTCTATTACAGTAGTGTACCCTCATGGAGATACAGTGATACCTTGACTTAAGAGTTCCTTTCCATGGCCAAGCTTGTCACTCAACTTGCTTATGTGTCAAACCAATTTTCCTCACTGAAATTAACTGAAATGCCATTAATCTGTTCCAGCCCACGAAAAGCCACCCCAATTTTTTTGTTACAGGTTTTTAAATAAGAAAAATGTATTTATAAATAAGATATGATTTTTGCCTTTTTTACCAGGTCCCAGCAATGTTTTATAAATGCTGGAGTATATATAAAACTCCTTAAAGCATGGTGTAAGAAGAGTCACTCCACTGCTGACAGCACAGCAATGGAGTGACATTTGATGATCTTGCACTGCCTTGGCTTTATTTTTCACTGTTACACAAACATATCTGTATCTGTGTTTCTGTATATCTGTTCGTTTCTATCTGTATTTGTCTGTCTATCTAGTTCTATGTTTATCTCTGTCTCTGCTTATCTTTCTGTGCCTGTGTTTCTGTCTTCCTGTCTCTCTACTTGTCTCTGTCTCAGAGAGCCATTCATGAACCAATAGGTATTACACACGATGCAGAGTCGACGACTCGTCTGATTCCTGAACAAGTGACTGCGTATTACTTGCCAATCATGCTTATTATGCCTCGTATCTACAAGCATAATATAGCACTGTCTGGATATTTTGGGTTATCCTAGGTAATTTACACTCTACAGGTGTCCCTCAACATTCGCGAGGGTTAGGGGATCAAGAGCCTCGCGAATGTTGAAAAACCGTGAATGTTTGGTGCCCCAATATATTGTAGGGAAATATAATACAATACTGCTTAACTTGTTGAACCATGAACAATCATAAAATACATGAAAACGTTGTAAGTTGTACTAAATATATACATGTTATGCTTTAATAACATGTATGTTATTAAATATATACCACAGACTCCACCACTGCCTCCACCACTTCCTCAACCAATGCGAGTCCCTACTACCCTCCCTCCGACCCCCGCAACTGGCAGCCAGCCCTCCCACCACTCCGTGTGGTGAGTGTTTTGTTTGTTCATTATTTGCTATTAAACTACAGTATAAATAATGTAAACACATTCATGACTGCACATTGGAATGGCTATTTGAACAGGTATTGGACGGTGACATGTGTTTACTCTTGAACACAGCAAAGAATCAAACATTTCTGCTACTGCTAATTAATAATAATAATTAATAATAATAATAATTAATAATAATAATAATTAATAATAATAATAATAATAAATAATAAATAATAATAATAAATAATAATAAATAATTAATAAATAATAATAATTAATAATTAAAAATAATATTAATAATAATTAATAATAATAATAATTAATAATTAATAATAATAATAATTAATAATAATTAATAATAATTAATAATAATAATTAATAATAATTAATAATAATAATAATTAATAATAATAATAATTAATAATTTTTTTTTCAACAATAATAATTAATAATAATTAATAATAATAATAATAAATAATAATAATAATAATAATACGATATAATTGAAGAAGGAAATTGTACAAAAATACGAGGGAGTGGTTGACACATCGTCAGTGTGACTTTGTTTATGCTGGAGTTAACATTAGTCTCCCTGCTCTTCCAAACATTTCACAATAATTCATTGTTTGGTGCTTGTAGATTGAGTGTGACTGGAGTGGTAGAGGCAGTGGTAGAGGCAGTGGTAGAGGCAGTGGTAGAGGCAGTGGTAGAGGCAGTGGTAGAGGCAGTGGTAGAGGCAGCGATAGAGGCAGCGATAGAGGCAGCGATAGAGGCAGTGATATTTACTAACATATGTTATAAATAATAATAGTACATTATGAATAACATTTATTATTATTATTATTATAAATGTTATTAATATTAACATGTACTATTATTATTTATAACATACGTATATGTTAGTAAATACCACTGCCTCACCCACTGCCTCTATCACTGCCTCAACTGCTGAATTATTGTGAAATGTTTGGAAGAGCAGGGAGACTAATGTTCACTCCAGCATAAACAAAGTCACACTGACTATGTGTCAACCACTCCCTCGTATTTTTGTACAATTTCCTTCTTCAATTATATTGTATTATTATTATTATTATTATTATTATTATTATTACTATTGTTATTATTAGCAGTAGCAGAAATGTTTGATTCTTTGCTGTGTTCAAGAGTAAACACATGATGTCACCGTCCAATACCTGTTCAAATAGCCATTCCAATATGCAGTCATGAATGTGTTTACATTATTTATACTGTAGTTTAATAGCAAATAATGAACAAACAAAACACTCACCACACAGAGTGGTGGGAGGGCTGGCTGCCAGTTGCGGGGGTCGGAGGGAGGGTAGTAGGGACTCGCAGGTGGCGGGAAACTTGAATATGATTTGGCGGCTGGGAATTTGGTGGCTGGGAATTTGGCGGTTGGGAATTCGCGAATGTGTGAAGCCCGCGAAAGCTGAAAATGTGAATGTTAAGGGAGACCTGTATATAACTATTTGTGTGTACCTGTGAGCTAGAGACAGATGGACAGAGACAGACAGAGATATATACAGATAGACAAAAGGAGACAGAGACAGCCAAAGCAAATCAGCCAGCCAGCCAACCTGCCAAACATGTATTACACATGTTCCAGAATTGTTTATCTTTACTTAGGGCGTATGTTATAGAACATTCTGCCAGGATGACACTACCAGTAGTATCAAACCTGAAAAGATCTTACACACTGGTTATTATCGAGGTTTCTAACCCTTTGAGGGTCGACAGGCCCCCTCAGAAACTCGTTCTCAGGGTCGGCCAAATTTAAAAAAAAAAAATTATTTTTTCTTATGAAAAGATAGAGAATCTTTTCCTGATCATAATGACACCAAAATTATGTGATTTGATGGAAAACTTACGGAATTATGCTCTCGCGAAGTTAGCGGTCACTGCGATGTTTACGCATCGGCGATTTTGCCCAATTTGAGCCCCATTTTCGGCCAATTGCTCTGTACTAGTCGACAAAAAACATGAATATTTCGCTAGAACTACATTTTTTCTATTGAATGAGTGCAAGAAACCACCCATTTACCATTTTCAACTATCCAATACAGTGGTCAGAATTTAGCAATTTTGCCAATTTCACACAAATTTCAAAAAATGCCAATTTCCGAATAGGGTCCAAAACAAACAAGAAATACATTCCTGGCACTAAAATGACATTTCTTCTGTTCATTAGTCACGTCTCAAGGCCCCTCTTACATTCTTTTGCTTTCTACTTTGAATTTTTATTCTCACGAAAAATAGAAGATTTACTGTTATGCAGACTACTGCATTAGTGTAAAAAATGATATAAATCATATTGGTGCACTTGCAAAAGAATGTTAGACTCACCAGTTGACGTGTATTGGACGCTTGGCATGATTTGTTTACTTTTGAACTTTGGTAAAAATCAAACATTTCTCCTACTTTGAGCTCAATTTCAAGGTACTTTTCTTTGTAAAACCAGTGAAAATCATCTCAAGTTCTGTGATATGCATTCAATTCTATAAAATGAGACCAAGAAAACTAGAATACAACAATAAATAACATACGAAAATACAGAGCAAAATCGCTGTTTTATGCCAAAAAAAAACTGTGAAAGTTTTTTTTTCTCATTATGCACTGTGTGCTGCAGGATTTTTTTTATACTGTGCACACTGACCACAGACCCATTCTTTCATATGGAGGCCTACAGCCTTTTCCCGCGAGATCTGACGGCGCTAGAATTTATGCGTACTAGTACGTCAAAAACCCCTGAGCGTAAGACGTACTAGTACGTCCGAAACCCTCAAAGGGTTAATATTTCCTTGGTATCTCCTGTGAGTGGCAGCACATCTGAAGCTCGCTCGTAACTCAAATTTTGGCTTGCAACTCAAAACAAAAAATCGACCGAGTGATGGCTCATAACTCAGAAAACTCATAAGTTGGGGCACTCTTAAGTCGAGGTATGACTGTATCGTAAATAATAAATGTACTGTATACATACCATATACTTATAAATCAATAAATCTTAAGTTAACAGGGCATGTTTAATATCTTCTTATTCAAAAGGACATAAATCTTTAATACAAACCTCTTTTTCTTAGTAACAACAAGAAGGTCGGTAAACAAGAAGAAGTATAGGGTACATTTTGATATTCTCTTGCCAAAGGTGAGTTTAGCATCATTTTCCCTCCACGTCAGCCTTATCAGCTCACCCTTCTTGACGAGCCAACGGGAAGCAGAGATAAGTGGTATTGCCTTTACCTCCCGAAAATCCAGCTGACGCGAGAGAATGAGCATCTCCTCCATGCGCTCCATCTTGCGAGCTCCCTCGTTACATTCTGATACAATCTGTCAGCAAAGAGATTGTACTGGCATTTGAGACTTTTGTGACTTTTAATAAAACTTACAACAATTGTTAATTATTGGCAGCCTCAAACAGATAAGATGACAGGTACATTTTGCTATTTCTACTTACATCTATTCCAAGACACACTCATATTACTGTGCCTACTACATATACAGAACATTAAACTCCAATATAAACCCTCCACTTAAACTTCTCTTTGATAGCTACAAAAGAATGCACAGTCACAATACAAGGCACTCAACATTCCTCGTGTCAGTTTCACATTATGCACAAATGAAATGCACATAAAAGACCAGAAGATCTGAAATTCGCTACCTGAACTGGTAAAGGATCCCCTGACTACTTAGGTAGTAGGTTGGTAGACAGCAACCACCCAGGGAGGTAATACCGTCCTGCCAGGTGACTGTGAAACAGAAACCTGTAACTGTTTTACATGATGGTAGGATTGCTGGTGTCTCTTTTCTGTCTCAAACACGCTGGATAACAGGTATATCTTGCTACTTCTACTTACACATGTCACACTACAGAGGCAAGCACATGCATATATATGTGTACATACACACATCTAGGGTTGTTCTTTTTCTTAATAGCTCGCTCGCTCTCTCTCTCTCTCTCTCTCTCTCTAGCACTTGCTCTCTAGTGCGCTCTCTCTAGCACTTGCTCTCTAGCGCGCTCTCTCTCTCTCTCTCTAGCACTTGCTCTCTAGCTCGCTCTCTAGCACTTGCTCTCTAGCTCGCTCTCTAGCACTTGCTCTCTAGCTCGCTCTCTAGCACTTGCTCTCTAGCTCGCTCTCTAGCTCGCTCTCTAGCTCTCTCTCTAGCACTTGCTCTCTAGCTCTCTCTCTCTAGCACTTGCTCTCTAGCACTTGCTCTCTAGCCTTGCTCTCTAGCCTTGCTCTCTCTAGCTCTCTCTCTAGCACTTGCTCTCTAGCTCTCTCTCTAGCACTTGCTCTCTAGCTCTCTCTCTAGCACTTGCTCTCTAGCTCTCTCTCTAGCACTTGCTCTCTAGCTCTCTCTCTAGCACTTGCTCTCTAGCTCTCTCTCTAGCACTTGCTCTCTAGCTCTCTCTCTAGCACTTGCTCTCTAGCTCTCTCTCTAGCACTTGCTCTCTAGCTCTCTCTCTAGCACTTGCTCTCTAGCACTCTCTCTCTCTAGCACTTGCTCTCTAGCTCTCTCTCTAGCACTTGCTCTCTAGCTCTCTCTCTAGCACTTGCTCTCTAGCTCTCTCTCTCTCTCTAGCACTTGCTCTCTAGCTCTCTCTCTCTAGCACTTGCTCTCTCTCTCTCTCTCTCTCTCTAGCACTTGCTCTCTAGCTCGCTCTCTCTCTCTCTCTCTCTCTAGCACTTGCTCTCTAGCTCTCTCTCTCTCTAGCACTTGCTCTCTAGCTCTCTCTCTCTCTAGCACTTGCTCTCTAGCTCTCTCTCTCTAGCACTTGCTCTCTAGCTCTCTCTCTCTAGCACTTGCTCTCTCTCTCTAGCACTTGCTCTCTAGCTCTCTCTCTCTAGCACTTGCTCTCTAGCTCTCTCTCTCGATTTTTTTTTTTTTTTTTTTTTTTTTTTTGTTACACAGGGTTTGACAAGGTTAAGGATCCCTAACTTTATTGACAAGCTATTTACAAGTTAAGGATTCCTAACTCTATTGGCAAGCTAAGAGCTGTTACCTACATCAGCTCATTTGAAAGCATTTTTATTGTTGTGAGACGTACAAGTAGGGAACAGGATGAAGTTGGAGCCATCTGTGGGCCAGCATTTTCATTTGATCAACTATCTCATTGATATCATTATGCTGTACGAATGTGTTCCATACTCGAGTTATCCTGGGTATATATGATCTCAGATGGAGTGATGTTCTGGAGAAGGGTACAGCCAGAGTGAAGTTGCTGCTTTCTGCCCATCTTGTGGCATAAAAGCTTGTTTCACACTGTCCTCGAAGTGGATCCAAGTGTGGTACTTTGACAATATTGGCCTTGTACATAACAATAAGGCCACCCACATCCTTCCTGTGTTGAAGGCTCTGCTGAAATGACAGATCTATCCAGGATGGCTCCAGGCGAGAGATGAGACGTCTTGCTCTGTTCTCTACTCTGTCAAGCAGTCACAGACTAGAGGGAGGGGGGCAGGCAAACCAAGAAAGTGGAGCATATTCAAGGTGTGAGCGTACTTGTGCCTTGTACAGAATCTTGCAACTCCTACTCTCAAGCAGATGTGAGATACGTTGAAGTTTTGTAAGCTTCGTGGCTGCCCTGTTTGCAAGATTTACAACATGGTTCTTCATGGTCAGTTTGGAGTAAAATTTCACCCCAAGGATATCAACTTCTTCTCCAGGTGCTAACACCCTTACTACTGCACCAGCATTACCATCATGGTGCCTAGAGACCATCATCATCTGCATTTTCTCAGGTGCAAATGTTACTTGCCATCTATTTCCCCAAGCTGATATAGATCTTAGCTGGTGATTGATGTAGCTTAGAGCAGCTGGCATTTCTTCTCTTGGATAAGTGAATGTCAGTGTACAGTCGTCTGCACATGCATGGGATTCTGGGATGAGATGAAGAAGGTCATTGAAGTAGACATTCCATAACAATGGTCCCAGCACACTTCCTTGTGGAACACTTGCCCCAATATGATGTCTTGCTGATTCCGTTCCATTGAGAACTACCCTTAAAGATCTACCATGAAGGTAATCACTGAGGAGACATAGCGTAGAGCCTGCAATTCCCAGTGCTTGAAGTTTTGCTAAGAGGCCCTGGTGCCACACCCGGTCGAAAGCACCAGCAATGTCCAGTGCTACCACACAGCTGACTTTGGATTCATCCAGTGACTGGTGCCACTTAGTGGAGAAGTTTATCAACAGATCAGCAGCAGAGTAACCTTTCCTGAAGCCATATTGACGGTCACAAAGTAGTGAGTGGTAGTCAAAAAACTCTGTCATTTCTCTTGAGATTATCGTCTCAAGGATCTTACCAGTGATTGACAGGAGTGACACTGGTCTGTAGTTGCTGATTTCTACTCTGCTCTTCTTTTTGTGAACAGGGACTACATTTGCCTCTTTCTACAGAGAGCCATTTACACTGTACTAGGCAGAGCTGCAAGATGCGAGTTAGAGGTGCTGCTAGCTGGTCTGCACATCTTCTCAGCAATCTTGGGCTCAACTTGTCTGGGCCCACAGCCTTTTCTTGGTCAAGCAATTTAAGAAGGAAATGCACCTCCTCCTGCCTTGTCACCACTGACAGTTTTGACACAGTTCTTGCAGCTAGCCAAGGAGGGTTCCTTGCTGGATCAGGAACTTGCATTTTGGTAGCAAAGTGTTCAGCAAAGAGGTCCACTTTCTCTTGACTACTAGTAGATGTGGTCCCATCCTGTTGATTTAGAGGTGGAATGAGTTCATCAGGCAGATACCCTTGTCTGTCCTTGACCAGGGACCACCAGGTTTTGGAGCCTACCCTACCTGATGCTAGCTTTCTTTTTGTGTCCACCTCCCATTTAGCAATGGCCCACTTTTGAACGTCACCCATATGCCTACAGGCTTGCCTGTGCAAGTTCCTGTTATAGGTGGCAGGATGTCTCTTATACCTTCGCCATGCTTTGTACTTAGCAGTAGCAGCCTCTCTACAACGAAAGCCAAACCAAGGCTGATCTGTAGGCTTCGTCACATATTGCCGGTGAGGAATGTGTTCTTGTTGTAGATTATGGATGTGTCCAGTGAAGACTTTCACTTGGTTGTCAACATCCCCTTGGAGAAGAGCATTCCAATCGGTGGTGGCGAGCTCAGAGCAAAGGGCTGGCCAATTACCTGTTTCCCATAGCCAGGTTATGTGTGTGGACTCCTCACCTCATTCTGTTGGGATCTTAAGTGTCGTAAAAACAGCCTTGTGGTCAGATAATCCAACGTAGCCGAGGGGTTGACAAGTGACTATACCTTCTGCTCGCTCTCTCTCGTCCATGGGGAAGTGGAAAAGAATCTTCCCTCCGTAAGCCATGCCTGAATGTGCGTGGAAGTAGTGCGGATGATAAGAATGAGATGATTGCTGATGTTATGAATAAAAAGAAGTTGGATGTCCTGGCCCTAAGCGAAACAAAGCTGAAGGGGGTAGGGGAGTTTCAGTGGGGAGAAATAAATGGGATTAAGTCAGGAGTAGCTGAGAGAGTTAGAGCTAAGAAAGGGGTAGCAATAATGTTGAAGGGCCAGTTATGGAAGGATAAGAGGGAATATAAATGTGTAAATACAAGGATTATGTGAATTAAAATAAGGGTAGGATGTGAAAAGTGGGTCATAATAAGCGTGTATGCACCTGGAGAAGGGAGGGGTGAATAGGAGAGATTTTGGGAGATGTTAAGCGAATGTATAGGAACCTTTGAACCATGTGAAAGAGTAACTGTGGTAGGGGACCTAAATGCTAAAGTAGGAGAAACATTTAGAGAGGGTGTGGTAGGTAAGTTTGGGGTGCCAGGTGTAAATGATAATGGGAGCCCTTTGATTGAACTTTGTATAGAAAGGGGTTTAGTTATAAGTAATACGTATTTTAAGAAAAAGAGGATAAATAAGTATACAAGATATGATGTAGGGCATAATGACAGTAGTTTGTTGGACTATGTATTGATTATGGGATTCGAAGATGTATGGGGTAGGTTTAAGAATGCAGTGTTAGAGTGTTTTCAGCAGAAGTTTGTGGTTACAGGAAAGTAGGTGTGGGAGGGAAGAAGAGCGATTGGTGGAATGATGATGTAAAGAGAGTAGTAAGGGAGAAAAAGTTAGCATACGAGAGGTTTTTACAAAGTAGAAGTGATGCAAGGAGGGAAGAGTATATTGAGAAAAAAAAGAGAGGTTAAGAGAGTGGTGAAGCAATCTAAAAAGAGCAAATGAGAGAGTGGGCGAGATGTTATCAACAAATTTTGATAAATTAGACACATGTGCAACTCTTGGGTATCTTTATTGAGGAAACGTTTCGCCACACAGTGGCTTCATCAGTCCATACATAGGAGAAACTTGAAGAACAGGAGGAGAATGAGGTAATCAGTCCCTCAACCTTGAGTCGATGTGTTCAGTCCATCAATCTTGAGTAGAATACGGCAGATGAGCGGAGAAGCAGCTTATAAACCGTATGGCAGGAGAGGTGCAGCAGTCATAGGTGGTGTCACATTTGTTCAATGTGGAAGTAGGTTGTGCCCAAGAATTAGGCAAGCGAAGAATTCCTAAGTATTAAGATCCCAAGAAGTTGCAGTGTCTGACAGGTTTGTAGAAGAACGGTTCAGAGAACCAACATGTTGCCTAATTCTTGGGCACAACCTATTTCCACATTGAACAAATGTGACACCACCTATGACTGCTGCACCTCTCCTGCCATACGGTTTATAAGCTGCTTCTCCGCTCATCTGCCGTATTCTACTCAAGATTGATGGACTGAACACATCGACTCAAGGTTGAGGGACTGATTACCTCATTCTCCTCCTGTTCTTCAAGTTTCTCCTATGTATGGACTGATGAAGCCACTGTGTGGCGAAACGTTTCCTCAATAAAGATACCCAAGAGTTGCACATGTGTCTAATTTATCAACATGTCGGTTCTCTGAACCATTCATCTATCAACAAATTTTGTCGAAAGTAAGAAAAAGTTTTGGAGTGAGATTAATAAGTTGAGGAAGCCTAGGGAGCACATGGATTTGACAGTTAAAAATAGGAGAGGAGAGTTATTAAATGGAGAGTTAGAGGTATCGGGAAGATGGAGGGAATATTTTGAGGAATTGTTAAATGTTGAAGACAGGGAAGCTGTGATTTCGTGTATAGGGCAAGGAGGAATAACATTTTGTAGGAGTGAGGATGAGCCAGTTGTGAGTGTGGAGGAAGTTCGTGAGGCAGTGGGTAGAATGAAAGGGGGTAAGGCAGTTGGGATTGATGGGATAAAGATAGAAATGTTAAAAGCAGGTGGGGATATAGTTTTGGAGTGGTTGGTGTTATTTAATAAATGTATGGAAGAGGGTAAGGTACCTAGGGATTGGCAAAGAACATGCATAGTTCCTTTGTATAAAGGAAAAAAAAAAAAAAGTGCAAAAACTATAGGCGAGTAAGTCCGCTGAGTATACCTGGTAAAGTGTATGGTCGAGTTATTATTGAAAGAATTAAGAGTAAGACGGAGAGTAGGATAGCAGATGAACAAGGAGGCTTTAGGAAAGGTAGGGGGTGTGTAGACGAAGTCTTTACAGTGAAACATATAGGTGAACAGTATTTAGATAATGTAAAGAGGTTTTTGTGGCATTTATGGATTTGGAAAAGGCATATGACAGGGTGGATAGGGAAGCAATATGGCAGATGTTGCAGGTGTATGGTATAGGAGGTAGGTTACTGAAAGCAGTGAAGAGTTTTTACAAGGATAGTGAGGCTCAGGTTAGAGTATGTAGGAGAGAGAGGGAGGTTATTTCCCAGTAAAAGTAAGCCTTAGACAAGGATGTGTGATGTCACCGTGGTTGTTCAATATATTTATAGATGGGGTTGTAAGAGAAGTGAATGAGAGGGTCCTGGCAAGAGGTGTGGAGTTAAAAGTTAAAGAATCAAACACAAAGTGGGAGTTGTCACAGTTGCTCTTTGCTGATGACACTGTTTTTTGGGAGATTCTGAAGAGAAGTTGCAGAGGCTAGTGGATGAAATTAAAAGTGAATATAGGAAAGAGTAAGTTTATAAGGATAACAAAAAGATTAGGTGGTGAAAGATTGGATATCAAATTGGAGGGAGATAGTATGGAGGAGGTGAATGTATTCAGATATTTGGGAGTCGACGTGTCAGCAGATGGGTCTATGAAGGCGGAGGTGTATCTCAGAATTGATGAGGGGAAAAGGGTGAGTGGTGCACTTAGGAGTCTGTGGAGACAAAGAACTTTGTCTGTGGAAGCAAAGAGGGGTAATGTATGAGAGTATAGTTGTATCAACACTAGTATGGGTGTGAAGCATGGGTGATGAATGTTGCAACGAGGAGAAGGCTGGAGGCAGTGGCGATGTCATGTCTGAGGGCAATGTGTAGTGTGAATATAATGCAGAGAATTCGTAGTTTGAAAATTAGGAGAAGGTGTAGGATTACCAAAACTATTGTCCAGAGGGCTGAGGAAGGGTTGTTAAAGCGGTTCGGACATGTAGAGAGAATGAAACAAAACAGAATGACTTCAAGAGTGTATAAATCTTTAGTGGAGGGAAGGCGGTGTAGGGGTCGGCCTAGAAAGGGTTGGAGGGAGGGGGTAAAGGAAGTTTTGTGTGCGAGGGGCTTGGACTTCCAGCAAGCGTGCGTGAGCGTATTTGATAGGAGTGAATGGAGATGAATGGTTTTTAATACTTAATGTGCTGTTGGAGTGTGAGAAAAGTAACATTTATGAAGGGATTCAGGGAAACTGGCAGGCTGGACTTGAGTCCTGGAGATGGGAAGTACAGTGTCTACACTCTGGAGGGGTGTTAACGTTGCAGTTTTATAACTGTAGCATAAAGCACCCCTCTGGCAAAAGAGTGATGGAGTGAATGATGAAAGTTTTTCTTTTTCGGGCCACCCTGCCTTGGTGGGAATCGGCCGATGTGTTAATAAAAAAAAAATATTTGTTGGTATAATATACCATGTGTGATAAAGATTCCACTACACTGGTAAACTGCTAAGGGTACCTTTGGTATATTTTTGACAAGTATTTTTTTTTATTCTTGGAACCTGACTCTGGACTAGGCTTGTCTGGTACTTGCCTGGTCATTCAAATTATTACTGGTGGCAGCCTGCTGGCCCACGTATCTATCACAGTCTGAATGAACTGGTGGAGATACTTGTCCAGTTTTCTCTTGATAACTTCTACATTTGTCCCAGCAGAGTTTCTGATACCTTCGGGAAAGATGTTGAACAATCTGGGACCATGGATGTTGATACAATTTTCTCTTGTGCCTCCAGCACCCCTACCCTTCACCAAGTTTTTCTTGCACTTCCTCCCCTATTACTCACTCCAGTATGTTTTGGCAGTGTGCATGCACATTTGGGACCAGGCCCTCAAGTACTTTCCAAATATATATTATCATGCAAAACAACCACTGTGAAAGAATAGTGAAATTCCAGGTATATCTTGCTACTTCTACTTATACTTAGGTCACACTACACATGCATGTACATGCAGATATATTTACACACCCATCTGTCTTTTCTTCTATTTTCTTAATAGTTCTTGTTTATTTCCTCTTATCTCCATGGGGAAGTGGGACAGAATTCTTCTGTAAACCATGCCTGTCATAAGAGGTGACTAAAATGCTTCCAGCATTTTAGTCACTAAGTTTACAAAGAACTAAGTTTACAAAGAAACTTTTTGTTTTTCTTTGTAGGTCACCCTGCCTCAGTGGGATATGGCCAGTTTGTTAAAGAAGAAGGAAAAAATCTATCTTGTATCCCATCT